GAGGGGGGGGGGAGGGGGCTCCGGGGGAGAGTCGCGCACCTTGTCGAGGTCTGCCAAATTCTCTGTGGAGGCGGTCGCCTCGCTGCCCGTGCACCCTCGGCTCGGGGCCGTCAGGTTGCTCGCCACCGCGTCCGCGCTCTCCGTCCGACCCGGCGAGTACCCGACTTCGCGAGCGGCGGACAGCGCCGTCGCGCACGCCCAGGCCGACGGCCGGCGCGCCGGGTTCGGCGAGAGCATCGCTCGCAAGAGCTCGTGCACCTCCTCGGGGCAGACGTCCGCGACCGCGGGGTACGCTTCGATCCCACGCTCCCCGACACCCCGGATCACCCCAGCGTCCTCTGGAGGCTCGCCCGCCAGCATGAGGCAAAACAAGGCGGCGCACGACCAAACGTCGGCCCTCGCCGCGGTCGCGTCGAGCGGCGGCCCGCTCTGCGGCGGCGTGTCGCTTCCACCAAACGCGACGGCCTCGACGCCCGCGCCGACCACAGACGCGGCGCCGCCGCTGCTGCCGCCGCTGCCGCCGCCGCCGCCGACGGCGTGCTCTGGCGCATCAAACTCCCATGGCGCCCGCCCCATGCAGCGGCGGTTGAGCGAGGGCGGTACCAAGCGGAGGTGGCCGTCGAAGCCGAGGAGGAGCTTCTCCGCGCGCAGCCTGCCGAACACCTGGCCGTTGAGGTGGCAGTGCGCCACCGCCGCACACAGCTCCTCGAGGTGCCGCAGCGCGAGCGCCGGTGTCAGCTGCCCAATCTCTGCGACCGCCTCGAAGAGCTCGCCGCCGACGCAGAGCTCGCGGACCTCCAGCGTCGCGTCGGTCACGCTGATCCACGCGAGCGTGCGCACCACGTTCGGGTGATGCGGCAGCTCGGCCCCCCTGGCAATCTCTGACGGATACGCCTTCACGGCGACGGCGAGGCCTCGGAAGTGGGCCATGACGGCGCTGCTGGTGGCGCCGACGCTGAGGGTCGGGTCGGGGCAGCCCGCCACCGGCTCCAGCCCTTGCTCCTGCGCCAGCGGGTCGGAGAGCAGCGAGGCGGTGTCGAAGACCATCTGGTCTTCTCCAGCCTCTGTCAGCCAAAGATGAAGCCCATCACATTCGACCCACGAGATTGGCAACCTCGCGAGGCGAGATAACTTCGAAAGCTTCGATCACAAATCGAAGCTGTTGAGGGCGCTGTTAGGCGAGGCGCCAGCGTTGCGCGGCGGTCCCCCCCCCCCCCCCCCCGTTATGGTTCGGGCTAGCGAGAGGGTGCGGTGTGTAGTGGGGTTCGGATATTAGGATATTACGATCGGAAATCGTCACAAGAGCTTTGTTCTATGGTGAGTAACGTTGATCGTGGTGCAGGAAAGTCTCGTCTCTCGAAAGAGTCGAGAAGAATGCTCACAAAACCACGCGCACAGTAGTCTCTCCATGTCGCTCCCGCGCGGCGCCCCGCGCCCCCCCCCCCCCCCGGCCCCCGCCGCCTCTCGCGCCCAACGCCCCCCACCCGCAAAGCTCGCGTAGAGAGCTCAGCGGTCTGTCTCTCCGCTAGGGGCTTACTCAGCCGGGAAGATGATGCCAGATCGCGAGCTCGAACCTTTCGAAGGTCATTCGTAATCATTCGTCGAAGGCAGTCAGTCAGTCTTGAGCACTTGAGCACTGGATAGGGTCGATTCCGCATGGTACGGGACCCCTCGATCGTCTCGCCCTCCCTCACTGGTGTCAGTCAGTCAGTCAGTGTTACACACGTCCTAGCATGGACGACGGGGCACACGCACTCGCGGAACACAGGGCATTACACACGAGGCGTTGTGTGCGTTCTCAGGAAAAGGCATCACCACAGACAAAAGAATAGTCAGAGGGGCAGCAGTGGGGACCCCCACTCACGGCCCCGCGAGCGCCTGCAGCGAGATGTCCATCGCTGCATTGGTTCTCGCCGCGCATGCGCGCACTGGTTTAGTGCGCGCAATTCAGAGTCCCCATTGCTGATCGCCGTCCCCGTCTGCGCTCGCGCTACTCTGAGGAACCATCTGGCCTGCTCCCTATTCCCCAGGCAGGCGCCGCTAAGCACGTGCGCCATCGTTGCGGGTTGTCGTCTTCCTCGGTCCATTGCTGCGCGGCTTTCCGCACGATCGGGCACAGCGGGTCCTGCCTTATTGCTGCCCCCTCGCCGCGTCCCTCGCGTCCTTACAGACGAGGCAGCCCCTGGCAGCCCGCCCGCGGCCCACACCGACGCCCTCACGTGCTCACCCTAGTCGTAGGTGCGGTTTTTTTGCGTGCCCCCCGTCGATACGGGGCGCTGGGCGATGGCTGGGCTTGTCGCCGGGCGAGCTAGCCCCTCAGCCGGCCGCGGAGCGGAGGTGCGAAATCGAGGCGGCGCGGCCCCTGCGCGCAGCCTGTCCGGCCGGCGCGCGCATGGTTCCGTAGCCCGTCTAGCGCCTCACTGACCGACTCCAGCGCCACGGTGTATGTGGCCGGTGTGGTACTGGGGCTGGGCAGCCTTGGGGCCGGCGGAGACCGCCGTCTAGCGGTCGCACTAGTCTCTTTTCGTTGTTTGACCTGTTTGTTTGACCATACTTTGAGCCTTAATTATTAATTCGTGTTTGGGTCTCTGAGGTCGATACTAGCGTCTGTAACTTGCCACAAGCATGCTTTACAAAAGTCCTGCGGAGCGGGACTCGCAGAACTGCCGTCCGCGCGCGCTGTGAACAGCGCCGTGGTCAAACACTGTTCAACGTCGTTGAACACGTAGCGAAAGAGAGACCGCTGAGCTCTCTACGCGAGCTTTGCGGGTGGGGGGCGTTGGGCGCGAGAGGCGGCGGGGGCCGGGGGGGGGGGCGCGGGGCGCCGCGCGGGAGCGACATGGAGAGACTACTGTGCGCGTGGTTTTGTGAGCATTCTTCTCGACTCTTTCAGTCTTACTTTCTCGACTTTCTGAATATATTAATAAGACTTTCTCCTGCACCACGATCCACGTTACTCACACCATAGAACAAACTCCTCTTGTGAAGATTTCCGATCGTAATATCCGAACCGCACTACACACCGCACCCTCTCGCTAGCCCGAACCATAACGGGGGGGGGGGGGGGGGACCGCCGCGCAACGCTGGCGCCTCGCCTAACAGCGCCCTCAACAGCTTCGATTTGTGATCGAAGCTTTCGAAGTTATCTCGCCTCGCGAGGTTGCCAATCTCGTGGGTCGAATGTGATGGGCTTCATCTTTGGCTGACAGAGGCTGGAGAAGACCAGATGGTCTTCGACACCGCCTCGCTGCTCTCCGACCCGCTGGCGCAGGAGCAAGGGCTGGAGCCGGTGGCGGGCTGCCCCGACCCGACCCTCAGCGTCGGCGCCACCAGCAGCGCCGTCATGGCCCACTTCCGAGGCCTCGCCGTCGCCGAGGTCAAGATCGCGTCACGACGCCGCGACCCTCTGCTCCTTGTCTCGCACTAGCGCCTGCAGCCGCTCCCAGAAGTCGCACTCTCGCGCCCGAGGCGGCACCTCCACCCGAAAGGGGGGTGGCGCCGTGGCATCCTCTCGGATCGAGAGCACCAGCTGCGCCTCAGACCCGTTTCGGTAGGCGGGCCACGCTGCTGGCGGCAGCGGCTGTGCGCGCGAGGCAAACGCGGCCCACATGCCGCCGATCGCGACGGAGAGCAAGCGCTCGGCGGGCGTGAAGCTCGTGTTTCCGCTGTCGATCCAGCTGCCCCGCTCGAAGACGAATGGAACCTCGCTGCCGTGCGTGACGCCCCAATCCACCGGCTCGGAGGTGTCGTCCCTCGCCCGCTGGTCGAAGCGGTAGAGGTAGGCGCGGTTGCCCCGAGAGCTCATCGCGTGCCGCACCGAAACAGAAAGTCGGTGGCAAGGGCTGCGGCCAACTTTGCGTTGTCGGCGGCAGGCCGAGGAGGGTACACCGCCAGCACGTCCGAGAGGTTCGCACGCGGCACCTCGAGGCGCAGAGTAAGCTTGGAGATGTAGTCGGTGTAGGCAGCCGCGGAGAGCGGCCGCTTCACGGCCGGCAGCACAAAGCCGGAGCCCTCGTCGGTGTTTGTCCCTCCGAGGAGAGCGACGCGAGCCAGCGCGCCGCTCGCGACAAGCTCAAAGGGCCTCGCGGGCACCTCGACGCCGTCGACGACCGAGGCGAAGGTGCGCTGGTCGAGGAAGCCGCCGCCCGGCGGAGGAGCAGTGGCGGCGGAGGCGGCGCGCCAGAGGCGTGCGATCGGCGCTGCGCGCAGGCAGGAGAGCACGGCCTGGCCGCCCCTCCGCTGGGCCTCACCGCAGCCGCTGTGGCGAAAGAAGTCCGCGGCGAGCTCCTCGGCGGCGCCGGCCGGAGTGGCGATGGGCGATCCGCTCTCCATGAGCGCTGCGCCAAACAGGCCGCGGGAGGCGGGCGAGAGGAGGTGGAGCGCGACCGAGCTGGCGCCGGCGCTCTCCCCAAAGATGCAGAGCCGGCGCGGGTCGCCGCCAAACGCGGCGATGTTGCTCCGGACCCAGCGCAGCGCGCTCCGCTGGTCCTTCAGGCCCCAGTTGGCGCGGCCCTCGGAGAGCCGCGCCCAGCCCAGCGCGCCGAGCCGGTAGTTTGTGGTCACCACCACCACTCTGTGCCTCGCGGCCAGCCGGCTCGAGTTGTACTCGCCGCCGCTCCCGCTGAGAAAGTCGCCGCCGTGCACAAAGAAGAGGACCGGGAGGGGAACGGTCGACGGCGCCGGAGCCCAGACGTTGAGAAAGAGGCAGTCCTCCGAGCCTTGAAAGCCGTCGCCGGCTGTGACGGTAGGCTGCACGCAGACGCTGCCGGGCCGCATCGCCAGGCGCACGCCGCCCTCGAATGGCGCCGACCAGTCGATGGGATCCGCAAAGCGGCGCGGAGGCTCCGCAAATGGGACACCGAGGTACTGGTGAACGCTAACACTGCCCTCGCCGAGGGCAGTGCCGTGGAGCATGCCGAATCGAGTCGTCGCCGAGGCTGACATGGAGGAGGAGGAGGAGAAGAGGACTGTGTGAGAGGACAACGAGCGCAAGTACGGCGACGGTGCTTTGCTACTGTCGCCAGCCGAAGCAGCTTGGTGTGAGGCGAACCGACCGTGCACGACGCAAACGAACCGACTTCCAGTCTACTCGAGTACTCATGGTGTAGTCTTTCGCGTTTAGTATCGAGGTCTCGCGAGTCTTGGGGGTTCTCGGCGCCGCGACAGCGCTGCGAGCAGCGCGATGCCACGGCGCTCGGCCTGCTGAGAGAAGACCTTCCCGGACGGCAGCGACAAGTTACCCGACATCAATCGTCGACGGCAACCTCGAGAAAGAACTGCGCGTCCAAAGTCGCCCAGATTCGCCTCTCGCGGCGCGCTGAGTTAGTATCGCCGGTGCGCCAGCAGGCTCTGCTCCACAACAGGGCATGCCTGACTGGCTCCTGCTAGCCGTGCATCCTGGTGGCATCCATAGCCAGCTCAGGCGCGTTGTGAAACCGCAGCTGGCCCCGCCGACGGGTAGCACAGGTCATGAGTGAGGCCACGCCAGCTGCCTCGAGTGCTCCGTGTGGTCGGCCTGGACCTTGCCGCAAGCCTCGAGCAGCGGAGAAGCGCTGTTCTTGAAGTCCAGACGTGCTTCGCCGCCGTGGCGCAGCGCCGCAGTGCGTGCGAGCGAGCACTGCACTGCAGTGCTCGCTTGCAGTGCGGCACCCATTCGACTCCCTGCGCTCCGGGCACATTGTCAAATGTGCCGGCGACCTTGTGGACGGCTCGGGCACGATTTGCACGACGGCGCGGCGGCTCGAGGCGGCCGTCCCTATCATAAAAAGTAGCCACGAAAACCGCGGCACCCCACTTCGATTTGGTCGATTTGGCGACCCTCCCGCCGAGCCCGCCCCTGCCTCCCGGGGGCCCGGCCGACCATCGAGGGGTGTCGAGGGGTGTCGAGGGTGTCGAGGGTGTCGAGCTGAGGGAGGGTGTAGAGGATGTAGAGTGTAGAGCGCTGTAGAGCTGTAGAGATGTAGAGTGCTGGAGAGCGCTGTAGAGCTGTAGAGCTCTACATCCGCCGCGTGACGAGGCGCCTGCGTTGTAGAGCGATGTAGAGGCGCTCTACAACGTGAAATCTCTACAACAAACTCTACATCATAAGCGGCGAACGAGGCACGGTCGCTCTCCGACATGAGGCGCGTTGCACTTGCCAGTGCTGCCCTGGCCTTCTGTCTGCCCGCCCAATGGGTGGCAGGTGCCTCTGCTGCTATGGCATGCCTCACGGCTGCGACTGGCCGGCGCCTCGGCGCGTCAGCTCGGCTCGGCGTAGCGATAGTGGCCAGCGCAACTCGCCTGGACTCAACGCTCAGCCAGGAGCTCCCGCACGCGCTGGCGCGAGTCATGGCGCATGCAACGCGTCTGAATGCTCGCCTCGCCTCGCGCAAATGCGACCGTCCTCGCAGCCGACAGTCCACCGCCTGCTAAAGAAGCACAGCGACGAATGCGGCACCGGCGACACATGGCAGGCTGGTCATGACGCAGTTATAGGGTGTTGTGTGCCGTCAGAGGGACTCTCTGTGTGTCAGGGATAGTCAGGGCTGTCCATCAGAGCTTCACTAAGCTCGGAGACACCCCATTAGCGCGGCTCGACCTCTTTGAGTCACTGCCTTCCCGGCGGTTTGGCTGTAGAGCCTCTACAACAAACTCTACAACAAAATCGCGCTCTACATCGCTCTACAACGCAGGCGCCTCGTCACGCGGCGGATGTAGAGCTCTACAGCTCTACAGCGCTCTACATCTCTACAGCTCTACAGCGCTCTACACTCTACATCCTCTACACCCTCCCTCAGGTGTCGAGGGTGTCGAGCGGGTGTCGAGTGTTGTCAAGAGGCGTCTTAGGTGTCGAGGTGTCCAAGGTGGCAGGATGCAGTTGCAACCCACCAACAAAACTTGGGCAGCAGTTGCAAAGCTGTTTCATCCCTTAGTTGCAGCCTCTCAGTTGCACCCTGTTGATGTAGCACAACCTGAGCACAGCCAGTATACTCTCTGTGGACATTTGAGGACATCAAGTGCCGTCATTGCCACTGTGCACATCAATGTGCACAAAGGTGCTGTGCAGGCGCAGCACCGCAGCAGCGTCGGCTCGCCGCTGCAGCGTCGTCGCCCCTGCAGCGTCACCGGCGCACAAAGCGCAACTGACCACAGCGCTCATGGCACAACGCTGGTGCCATGAGTCAGTGGACATTGCCACTGCACAAGGTGCTGTCCAGCAGCTAAGGGCTACAGTACCCCATCGCAGCAGCGTCGCCGCCGCTGCATCGTCGCCGTTGCAGCGTCGCCAGTGCACAAAGCGCAATGGACCACAGGTCTGCACTCATGGCACAAGCTCACTGGTGTGAGGATTCATTGCCACTGTACAAGGTGCTGTGCAGCACCTGAGGGCTACCTGAATACTGCCATGTTTGCTACATCAACAGGGGCGCAACTGAGCTGCAACTGAGCTAGAACTTGAGAGGCTGCAACTGAGGGATGAAAGTACTGCCAGCGAAGTTTGATTGCTGCTGCAACCCTGATTTTCTAGCTCTGTGACTCCAATGGGTCTACCTGGTACGTCTCTGCTGTGTTAGGATCATCAGAGGTGTCGAGCGGTGTCGAGCGGTGTCGAGCGGTGTCGAGCGGTGTCGAGCGGTGTCGAGGGGTGTCGAGCGGTGTCGAGGTGTCGAGTTGGCACCTTGACACCGGCGAGCGTGGTACCAGCCTAGATGGTGTCGAGGGGTGTCGAGGGGTGTCGAGTTGGCACGGGGTGTCGAGGTGTCGAGTTGGTGTCGAGGTTTGGTGTCGAGGTGTCGAGGCCAGGGCTCAGGGCCTGGCCTCGATCGCCACTCTCTGCGGCGGAATCGGCACCGTCGGCCCCCTCTGCATCCTCCTGGCACTCCTCGGCTTCCTCCCGACGGTCGGCGGCACCAACCCCAAGCGTGCGCTTTGAGTCAGATTCGATCCTCGGCATGCGCATTCTGAGTCGCTCCGACTTCCCCACAACTGGACAGCAGTACCTTGCGACACGTACACGAAAGTCACCGGCCGGGATCTGCAGCTTGAGGGGGGGCGCACGACTTCGACTTCTCTCTTCAGCGAGGGAGTTTGTTTGTACTCGAGTAAAATTCTCTCTGCAAAACCATGACCGATGCCAACATCGGGCGAGCGGCGTCAAGGAGGACGATTTGAAGCTGATTGATCAAGAGAGAGAGAGATTTTTAGCAATACCATTGTGTTTGTGTTGCTGATCAAAGACCTGCTAAGGCCAAGGAAGGGCTCGACAATGTCTCCCAGACCGTCGTGGAGACGCCCTCGACCGAGACGCTTCTAGGGTGCGAGTCGGAGGAGCCGGCGCCGCGGTACCCGCCCTCGCAGTGTGTTTTTCGACGGCCCTTTGTTTTCTTTAGCCCGCTACCGACTGCAAAAAAAACTTCAAATGCGGCGTCGACGCGACCAGTTCGGCGCAACAGGCACCCGTGAGACGTGACTATTCACAGAGCTCTATTCATGGATCGTCCGCGATGGTTCGCGGCGTCGACGCGACCAACAAGACGCAGAGCGGCGGCCGGATCAGCAGGCTCAACAAGTTCCAAACTAGGGCGCAGGCCATCTCAAACGCGACGCGGGCCATCCACGAGCGCGACAAGCGCGTCGCCGCCGCGCAGCGGGAGCTTCGGTCTCGCGAGGACGCCCAGGCCGCAGCGCGGCTCGCGAGACACTCTGGCTATGACCCGAAGGGGTCACTACTGTCAGACGGCGAGGCCGCGGCTCTCGCAGACAGGCGTCGTCGAGAAGCCAAAGCGGCGAAGGCGGCTCGGTTCCTCGCAGAGGCGGAGAGGGCGGCCGCGCTGCTCGAGTCGGACTGCGACGGCGGCGGCGGCGCCAACGGTGACGGCGCTGCCTCCGACGCCGCGACTGACGGCTCCGAGGCGGCGACTCCTCCGGCGCCGCTGCACGCCGTTCGCTGCGCGGCGCCGCTGCCGGAGCTTCTCACCGTGATTGTCACCACCTCTCCGCTGCCGCGCCACCCGTGCAGCCGCCTGCTCGACGAGATTGTCCGCTCGGTGCACCGGCATTGCGCCGGCGCCGCCAGCTGCAGGCGTTCGAGCCGCGTCCCT